AAAAAATGAACCAACTATAAATTGCTGAAAGAATTATTATCCTCATTTCCTATTACTTCTGAATTTACTTTTGCAGGAAGTTTTACAAACATGAAAAATGTTTCCATTTAAAATGCAACAGTCTCCCTGTGCAAAGCTGCAAGAGACTTAAATGTGCCCATTGGTAAAGAAGTATAACCATTTTTACTTAGGAATTACCCCTCCGATTGAGAATTTTGCAAAAATAATAAAATCAGTGTGTTCTGCTTCTCAGAAAAGCAGATGTTTTAAAAACTAATTTATGTGAAATTCTTGGATGTCCAATCATTTATTTTAAAAATGTTACGGGACTCTTTTCTCTCCCTCCTATCTGTGTTTGCTCCAGCTGTTCTTAGGCAAGAAAAGCCTGAAAATTTACTACAATCAAGCTGTGCCTCTGAGGCCTCCATCAGCTTTAATGCTACCCCCTCCCAGCACATTCAGGTACTGTAACATGAAAAAAGAAAAGAGAATCTGGCTTGAAAAACAGCATCTTCCAAGAGCCAAAAGCTGTTTGTCTGACTGCAGTTTCGGTAGCTCACATACCGCTCCTTTCTCAACTTTACAGAAAACAAGGAGTGCTGGTGACATAAAGAGTGGTTTATTCTACAGCAACCTGTCCCTACCAGAAGACAAAGAGTGCAGCATTATCTCGGTCTCAGGAAGTCATGGTCTGGAAGAATCAGAAGTAGGAAGCTGGCATTTAACTGGAAGACGGAGACAGAGCAGGTTATACGAACACACAGAGAGAGACCCGTGTATGCACAAACGCCTATTTCAACACCGGACCCTGCCCCAAAATGCTGGGTAGCCACAGCCCCTTATGGGGCTGCGTTGAGTTGGTGATGCTTCTAAACTGAGGGCAATTGACACGGTTTTCACACATCACCTGAAAAACAATTTTAAAATGCATTGTCCCATCACTAAGAAGAAAAGGCTGGAAACAGGCCTGATGATCTTCTTGCAAGTTACAATAAAATGCATTTAAAGAAAAAAAAAAGAAGGTAAGAAGAACTAACAGATCACCTAAGCAAGAGTTTAAAGCGTATTAGAAATTAATATTCTGACTGATGGAACCTCACAAAACTGCTGCTTTCAAACCAACTGTAGAACCTTTTCTTTTTTAATAAGCACATTTGGCTTTGAGTGCTTGTCAATGTGACAAACCTTTTCCACCAGAAGTTGAGAATTTATTCAAATGCTAATGACAGTGAATGCAATTTGTACTGGTGGTGAATCAACTTTTCAAGATTGTAATTTGTGTTGGTATAAAACTCTGATATTTTTCAATACAAAACATATTTGCATAGGGTTTTGAGACTAAACAAATTGACATACTGCTTTTGCCATCAATTTAAAAATATTTTGATTTCTTTATGGTAGGCAATTCTAATAATACTGAGCAGCTTTTTATATTACACATTTTCATCAACTGGAAAGAAGACTGTCATGATTCATTAAAAGAGTCTGTAGCTCTTATATTAAACCATTGTAACAGTAAGCTCAATTTTCAGATCCAAATCAATTGCTTGTACCACTCTGCAAATGTAGATTTGTCTCTCAATTCACTGTAACTGACCAAGGCTTGTAGACCATGACTTTTAGCAATGTAATATTCTCCCTATGATCACCAGCAGCCATGTAGTGATTCTCCCATTTTTATTCTTCCATGACACCCCAGCAACCAGAATAGAATAGAAAATGCTACTGAAAATATTATGTTGTTATTATCAAATGTTGTCACATTTGAAATTGGACTACTGGATTTAATTTTGGTCTTCCAACCCAGATGAAGCATAATTGGAATGAAACAGATCCAGAGATGAAGGCATAAAGTTTCTATTACAGGAGCAGGAAAAACCGGAAGCTTTCAGATGTAAGTTGATAGAGCTACGCAAAAAATCCAAGAAGTCCTTTTTATACAAAGGACAGTCAGTGCAACTGAGATACTAATAAACTAGTTGTGTATAACAAACTGCTAAATGAAAAAATACACCATGAGAATATCCACATTACAGAAAATAGAAGTTGCAAGCATAAGGAGGTTTACGGTCAAAGCTGAGCAGGTCATTTCATATCTGCTTCCTCTAAGTATTCCAACATGTAACAGTGGATGCAGCCAATCAGAACAATACATAATACACTTTGTCAAAAAACCAAGCAAATAAACAACTAAAACCTCACAATACAATTTCACCATGTTCCCAGGTATAAGCTAAGCAGTACCTGGGCTTCAGAGAGCTCCAGTCTGGAATCTGCACAAGGGCACAAGAGGTACCACCACGCCTGACACTGGCCACTGAGGTACCTGGTGTGACTGGCACAGCAGAGTAGAAAAACATAATTTTTTTTTTAAAAAGGCATTTTTAACTAACCACCTCCTAGAGGCTTGGAGAAATGGTGGCAGCAGCTAATGTGTCTACCACCATCCACACAGAGTAGCTGGGGAGTAAAAAGGATGTCACAGGAATAAGAAATAGCTCACAACTTCACTGAACTTCTGCTCAGCCCTATACACATGTGCAGTCATTTGTGAAACTGGAACAGGCAAAGGCGGCACAAGAACCTCTGCTACAAAATCTCTGTGTGGCTTCACATGTAGGAAAAGACACACATTCCCACACGTGGCCTCATTTTCAGTTACGCTGGATGCACTAAATACCAGCTGATGAAACAAAAAAAAACCCCACTCCTCCAAACCACTAAGTTTTAGCAAATATAGGCTTGGGGTTTTATTTAAAAATACATTTAAAAGAAGGAGGAAGGAAAGGGAGAGGAAACAGAGGTGCAAGAAACATGGAAATACTGCTTCTGGGTACAGTGAAGTCAGCTTGAATTTAGAAGCAGCAAACTGAAAAAATTCGGCATGAGTTCAGTAATTTGAAAAGCAAACTCTCTTTTGAAACTAGAGATTAAAAGAGGAATTATAACATCAACCCTATTTCACAAATTCAGAGTAACATTCAAAAGCTGAGGAGAAAACAGGTCATAAGGAATGCTTCACCATTAATGCTTCTCTAGCACAGCAGAGAGCTTTAGCATCCTTGTTACCAGCATAAAGAACACAAGCTTCTCAAATATAAGAAAGACCACACAATTTCATTACTTCTTTCAAATGACAAAGGAATTCTGTAACCAATTCAGGAATTATGAGGAAAAGCATGTATATGATATTTCTCTAATAAAAGAAAAATAAAAGATGTTTAAAAAAAAAATCCCTGCTTAGCTTTAAGAGATATAGTGAAGTCTACTCCCTTAGGCTTTTTTAAAAGATACACTGAGGAGTCACAAATCAGCACTATCTATCCAATTATAGAGAGATATAACTTAACTAAGAAAAACATAAAGCCTCCTCCATCTCCAGAACTCCTGTATTTCAGAAGCCCTTTCTTTTCTGATTCAATATCACTGAACGTGGATGCAAAAATACTTCCTTCAGGGAACACATGGTGGTACTTGCTGGGGTTGTTTTAGTTTATTTAAACTTTGGGGTTTGCACCATGCACGTATAAATTTAAGAGTAAGCTGCAACTATTTTTTGTTGTTTCAAGAGATCATAATAAAGTTCGTGTGCTTCACTACAGCCTTACCAATACATTACTAAACAATCCAAGTGCTTTAGTTTTGTAAAGAACTGATGCACGGATATCAGTTGTATTATCAGACCCTGTCAAATGCAATACACACAATCTTTCAAAAAGGACACTCATCTGTTAATATCCTGGAAGGTGCTATTACAAAACCAGTTATCGCAACTTTCGTATGGTGACATGTAATAACACAAAAATAAATACCTGTAAGAGATCTGGAAAAGCTGCAACTTGCAGTCAGATAAACATAGTTTTCTCTGTAATCTCCAAGAGGCACTGAAAAAATCAAAAATACTACCTGAGAATATACGTGATATAATAAGCGCTATGACCAAACAAACTCCAGATAACTGAAGGCAGTTAATGCCTTATCTTTACTATTTCAATACTGATAGCTTTTTCTTTTATTAAGTTTTGAAAACAAACAAATGGTGATTGACAGAGGTAAAATGTTCATGTTTGTAACACCTTAGTAATTTCCATTAAATTTTAAAATTGGAGTACTTCTGAAAAAGAAGCACTTCCCTCCTTATGCGCCAAACATCCAAAAATGCACCACTGCAATTACATAAGCTGCCTCTCCCTATGGAGTTTTTTTTGTATTATTTGACAGTGATTGATATAATCACTCTGCTGAGGAATTTCCGCATTAAATTTTAGTTGATCTCTTGAAGGCTATTTTAAATATTCAGGCCAACCGGTGAGTTTGCTCATAAATCAAACCACATTTCAGAGGCAGGAATGAAAATGATTTCAAAAGAATTATGCAGAAAAATGCAACAAGGATTAGCATGGAGTGTAGCAAAACCTTGATATTTGATGGAACGAAATGCTAAGTATTTAACAGAAATTTCAGAGTTCAAATTCTGCAGTAACCTTTCTGTGCAACGCTTTGAACATTCATTCCTGTTGGCAGTTACTGTCATTGTGCAAGCTGAAAAAACACAGTCTCAGGAAGTATCCAAGAAGTGTTCACATAAATTTTGGCAAGTCAGTAATGTATTTGATGACACATAGATCAGCATGTAACATATTTACTCTGAAATTTCCTTATGTATACTTTACAGGAGAAAATACACAATGTAACATAAACATACAATTATACTCTTACAAGTGCAGAAGTTTTTACTTTCTACATTGAAGTAATCTTAAAACGAGAGAATCGAGGCACTGAGACAGCCCATTATGCAACAGGGTTAAAAACTCCATACATTTCAAAAAGCCCCCTGGTTTGTTGTCATTTAAAAGGTTTCATAATCCTGCTTGAAAGGTCAACAGAGAAAGTTCACATTTGGGTGACTGCAGACAGTTTTTCTGACAATAATGTTTAGTTAAACCATATGTATGAAATGAAATCTTTTGGTTTACAAAGGCATAGGAAAAGGTAGATATTTAGCTCCAAACGTCCTGCAAATATCGTTTTGCTTCTCGAAGCATGGCTAGGATTTTCATCGCTTCTAATTTGTCAATTTCCATTTCCATGCTTAAAATGTCCACTACAGCATCACTTACACCATCAGCCATGTGCTTTTTATCTCTGAAAAAAAAGAAGAAAAAAATATAGAGGAAAATGCATAATAGTGTATTTCTCCTTTTATCAATAGCTCAACAGTTTCTGAGGGAGGACAGTACTGGAAAAGAGGCATTAAAAAACCATCCCAAACAAAAATATAGCTTGTATATTGTATGGCAAGATTCTAATTGAGTTTTCACGTAGCTGAGCATTGACAGTAACGAGGGTTTCTCTCAGTCAAACATTACAATGTTTCCAGCATGCTGGAATTTGCAAGAAAAAAAGACCCTGAGACCTTAGTTAAGCTGTCACAGAATTGACTGTTTTCCTCTCATAGAGAATTGAACCTGTTGAAGAATTTGTTATTATAATATCACCATGTGGTTTCAATAAAAAGAAGAAACAAAAAACAATCCCCATCTACCTTCTCTTATTAATAATGCTATTTTTAATACAAATAGCTGACATTTGTTCCTGCAGGAGAATATATTGACATTGGGCTCTATATTCAAACAGTTTGTCCATTTATCAGCAGAATTCCCAAAAAATCTCAAACCTTCATGTAAGTTTAGCGTCCACAAATAAACCCTCCTACTGTAAAATACACTGCTATTGCAGAGCTTTGTTATTCTGGCCCACCCAAGTCTGGGACACAGCACAAGACTGCTGCTATCTCACAGCTGTGCAGTTTATCATCCTAGGTATTCAAATATCTCAAATATCTATTAGCTTGAAACCTTCTACAGCTTAATTGAATACCAGAAAAAGAAAAAAAAAAGTGACAAAAGCACAATCAGTGGCATTGTGTGGTTACAAGCTATGCTTTCAAGACTACAGTGGAAAATAACGGACATCGTGATGAAATTTTAGCATTCCAGGAAGGCTCTTTCAACATCGTGTTGGTCCTTTGTTTCAGAGAGTTCTAAGTCTTTCTAAACCCTCAAACATCTACTAATTCCATCCTCTTTCCAAGACAAACTCTCTCCACTCTACTTACCCACATACATAGAAGTAACCTCTCT